TGTGTGTGTGTGTGTGTGTGTGTGTGTCCACAGCTGTGAGCAGCTCTGAGGAGCAGCAGCTCAAAGGTGACTCTGAAGAAACACCAACGTCCTGAAGAGTGAGTTCCTTCATCTGTTCAACTGTGTCCACAGTCAGGTCATGTGACTGGAGATCAGGCTCAGAGAAGAGCAGACAGTCAGGGGTTAAAGGTTATATTTGATGATATATTTGAATGTGTCCTTCAGTTGAACAAAGTCCTGTCCATGAATGAAACCAGTGTCTGGATCAAACACTGAAGCTCATTTCATCTTTAGTTGATGGATTTCTTTCTTCCTCTGGATCACAGAGCTCAGTCTCCATGTCTTCTCTAATTCCACCTTCATGTTCCTGCTGTGGAGCGCCACCTGCTGGACAGCAGAAATCAGAGCAGACAGATTTGTCTACCTTCCACTTTTCTCCGTGGTCTGTTGAATGAGAGACAGTCAAAGATCTGCAGCTGTGGTTGGACAATTGGACAAGATTTACTTTACTTTCATGAAAGGAAGGAAGGAAGGAAAGTGAACTACTTGTCATTGTGACACTGCACACAACGAAATGTAACCTCTGCTTTTAACCCATCACCAAAGCCAGCAGGAGCCGTGTGTGGTGATGGTGCCTTGCTCAGGCCACCTCAGTGGTAACTTGGCAGATGGTGGAGTCGAACCTGAAGCCTTGTGAACCCAAGTCATCTTCTTTAACCACTAAGCCACCACTGCCCTAAAATCTGTAAATAATCATCTGTAAATTCTATTCTGGGCTTCTGTGGATGTGTGTATTAATGTTTGTGAACTGTCAGTATCTGTAGATATACACACTAACCCAGGTGTAGGACACCTCTTTGACTCGTGGGCCTTAATGGGCACTAAGATTTGATGGTGTGCCGGGTCAGGAGCAGAGAGACGGAGTCTTCATATGAACAAATGAGATGTAAAAGTCATAAAGGCTAAAAATGCTTTAAGCCTTTTCTGCGACATCTATTGGCGAAATGCGAGTATTGCAGGGAAAAGGCAGAAGTATAATGATAATAGAAATTAATAACATCATTTTGGACATTAATGGGCCGGTTTAAAAAGCTAGGGCCGTAGTTTGCCCGTGCCTACACTAACCTGTTCTACAGTTTATGACAGTTGGACAGAAACAGCAGATGGAGTCAAAACATCAGGAGTTCAGTCACTTCAGCAGAAATAAAGCTGTGAAACTGATACTTCAACAGGGTTTGATGTTAGGTTTTTCTGCTGTGGCTTCAGCACTTTCACTAACATAATTAAATCTTTATGTTAACTTTGATAGATTGTGTTTTTACCAGACTCAGTGAAATGTCTCTGTCTGGTCAAACATCAGCACATGTTTGTTTTTAATGTCTTAACACCAGTGGTTGGAAAAAACAGAATAATTAAAATAATAGCAGAGCAGACACTTGTTAGAAAACTGATGCTTTGTCATTTTTACAACTGAGAACAAATGCCAGTTTCTTATTTAGACAGAGGTGAAATCATCACAAACGATCAGGGTTCAATATGGCGGCGTAAACAAGATGGCGTCTCAGTTTATCTCTGACTTTTAAACACCCTGAATTTTTAAAAGGTGAAATCACGCGCCGTCCTAGATAAAGTTCGTTAAAGACTTTTTATACACGACATTTGCTGTATTATCAGGTAAAATCTATTTTATTCATGACTTATTCATGAAAATACGTAATTTGTTCCAGGCTTTTACTGATTTTATGGTTTGGGATAGACAATTGCGTCATCCAGCCAGGTTTTGTGCGCGTGCGCAGTAGACAGTATACCAAACAAATAGAACACCTGTTCAAAATGAATAGAGACGATAGCGTTTTTAAACCGTCAGATTTCACTTCATACTTTAAACAGGCGGACATTAAACATGATCAGACCTATTACTCTGGCATTTATCACTACTTATCTATTTTTCCCTTGTCCTACACCGGGGAATCCTAACAATCATTTAAGCCCATTTAAATGAGGAACATTAATGGACACGATCTGACTTCGTCAGCTGTATCCAGGTCGCCGGAAGGGTAAGCTTCATCCTAATGACGTTTACATGAGTAGACTGCTGTAACAGACCACTGTGCTCACTGGTATGTTGACTTAATAATAACTGCACATGTTTTAATGCTTGTCTACAGACACCGCGTCAAATGTGTAACTTTAAGATAAACAGTAGTTATCAATTAAATAGTAAATATAAATTTGTGTTTCAGGTGAATCACACTTATACAACTGAATGATGTCAACGGGGACATAAATGCAGAACACGAATTAAATATATTTTAACGTAACTACGTAACGTAACTAAGTATTTTTTTTCTTTTTACTTGAGTAGATTTTTAACTGGTAATCTTAGTCTTTCCAGTAGTGGTATTTTCTCTTTTTTTTTTTTTACATACCCCAGTGGCTGATTTAGATGATCCTAAGCTGTCTTAATCACTTTATAACCTACTTTACTACTTTGTATAATTTTTAAATACAGTGGCTTTATATTTGTTTAATGTTTGAGATAAAAAAAATTTAAAGACGTCCGGGCCAAGAAACAAGATTAACGTTCTTGTGATTTGCTAAACTTTACTGTATACTGTAGTTTTTGTGATTGTCCAGCAGAGGGAGTCATAGTCTTCCTCTGCCTTACGGAAAGGGTGGTGACAGCGGGTAGTGATGGAGGGAGAGAGTTATGACAGGGAGAAGATGGGAGGATGATGAAATATGTCACACTTTTTAGCGTTTCACAGACCGAAACAGGAAGTAGAAAGACTTCCTGTCTTTGTTAAAGCCCTCAGTCAATAGACTGTGTTTCTGACAGAAAATAAAGGAGCAGCATGCCAATACAACCAATATACTTCTCGAAGTTTTTCTGCAGCGCCCCCTCGTTGTAGACACGTGAACTTCATTTACCAGTGTGTTATTGTTGGTTGTTTTATTTTTTTCTAATTAGACATAAAAACAACGTTTTTTATTTTAGCGAAACTGAAAAACGTTTTATGATTTTGTCAAGTATTTTTTTTAATGCTTTATTTTTGTAACTGTTTTTTTTTAGTCTATCTTTTGTTTATTTATACTTTAGTCCTCAACACATCACAGTGTGCCCTGGCCAGGGATTTGAACCAACGGTTTGATCATGAGCCTCAGCTGCAGTGGATGCCACATGTTCAGTTATACCACGTGTGTAAAAAAGCCTGTGGCTGAGTGTGTGTGTGTGTGTGTGAGACGTGGTGTCTCACACACACTCTGTCAGACGTCCACTCAGACTCTTCTTCTGCTGCTGTCATTCAGCTCATAAAGACACTTCCTCCTTCTTACACCTTTGGTCCCCCTGCCCCCCCCTTGTACCTCACTCCCAGTCTCACCAGTCTCACCCTCCTGTGCCTGTTTTCTGCACATTTCTCTGAAGAGTGGTTTCAGACTGATGACTGAGATGGATGTCCCTGAAACATCTGAGGACGACGGAGGAAGAAAACCCAGAGATTTAGACCAGAGTTAGGATTTAGGTTTGGAACCAAATGTCCCTAAAACAAAGGAAGCCGTCGACGTGACTGTTTGACCTTTGGTGATGATGTCCATCCAACAGGGGTGTAAGAAAATATTAATACACCGAAATATCTTTCAACAATACCGTATCGATATTCTACAGCACTGTGTTGATTTTTTTATTAACATTTAACATGCGATCGTTCATGTTGTTGGTTTATGATTTCATTTTTGTGTTGCATTAAAACCTCCGACCGCTAGTTGATTGTGGTTGGTTTAACCAGAAACAGGTTAGCAAAATGTGTCTAAATTAAAATAAAAACATTTTTTAATTTCACACTTGGTATAGTAGGTTATAGGTGCTGCCCCCTGTAGTTAGATGGTAAAACCTGCAGGTTCATTTATCAAAAGTTTTGCAAGAAATAGCTAATAGCTCATGTGTCTCATGTTCTGTCTGTTCAGGAGTGGACGGATGCAGCGTGAAGCCTGGTGTCAGAGAACAGCGCCATCTTAACGGCAAGTAATCCCACAATTCCTCAGCCTTTAATCACACTACACTGATTTCACACACACACACACACACACACACACACACACAGATGTCTCATGTTACACACCTGTTCCCTAATCCAATTATTTTCTCATTTTATTGTCATAATTTGTCTCATCCATCCGTCCTTCCTTCCATCCGTCCATCTTCATCCTTCCATCCGTCCATCTTCATCCTTCCATCCTTCCATCCGTCCATCTTCATTCCTCTCTCTCCTTCTCTCCATGATACTGATCTCCATGGAAACAGCCCAGCAACAGGCTTGGTTCCAGCAGCCAATCAGAGCTCACGCTGCCTCCGTTTCCCATCCAATAGACGGGTCATTAGAAGTGAAGGGAGGAGGAGTGAGGGCGTGGGTGTGGGCGTGGGTGGGATGGGGGTGGGGGGTGTACAGGGAGAGTGTGGGACACCCAGGTGAAGGCCAGAGGAGGTTCTGTCTCCATGACTTTGATCTAACGTGACTATAAATGGATTCCGTTTTGGGCCAGTTCTAGGTGCTGTTTCTTCATCTTTGTCTTTTGTCTAAACTTCTGTAACGTCGGTCTCTGTCTCCCCCTACCTCCCGTCTCCTACACCCTGGTCTCCTCAGATCCAGTCCTGTCCTTCCTGGACACCTCTTTGTTCGGCTGCCGTGCTCCTGGCTAACCTTTAGCTACTCCATAGTAATAAACTCAAACTGTTGTTGTTGTTGTTGTTGTTGTTCAGAGTTTCAGTTTACCTGTGAAGTGACTCTGGTCCATGACTCTGAACTGACCATTAGCTTTAAGCTAACTTTGATTCATGTTTTGATTGATTTATTAACTTTTCTGGTGATTCTTTCTGTCCCTGGGCTTTTTTTTTTTTTTTGCTCTAGTCCTGATCATCTATTGTTCACATGACATGCCAAGACAGGATAGGGTTGCTAGGCAACATCCTCTCATCTTCCTCCCCCAGTTTTCCCGCTCTTTTTCTTTGTCTGTCAGATAGTGATTGGTGGGAGGGAGAGAAGAGAGAAGTTTATTTTTAGAGTCTGTGGCAAAAGACGGGGAACTACGTGTCAGGTCTAAAATTAAACACACAACCCGCTCCCCCCTCCCTCTCTCCCTCCCTCATTCTCTCTCGCTCCGTCTCTCCGTCCTCCCCTGCTGATCCAGTCGTACAGAGTGAGGTGAAACTTAAGGAAAGTGTGTGTGTGTGTGTGTGTGAGTGAAACATAAATGATTCGTGCTGTCGATGCCTTTGTGATCCGACAGCACCAGCTCCAGCTCCAGCTGCGTATTGACATTTTGGTACAAATATGGAAAAGTTCATTGATTTCATCTTCATTTCCTCTTCGTCCACGTCATGAAGCCGCGGCCACAGCGTCCGTCCACGTATCGTTGGCCCTGTATCGTATCACCAGAGGGGGCATCCAATTGTTAAACCCTGAGACCCTCACCACAGCAGCACCATAGCTGTCCTTAAGATGGATGGATGGATGATGATGGATGATGGAGCAGGTGTGGTGACAGGTTGACAGAGTGTGAGGCGGAGGAGGAGGAGCAGTGAGGGAGGTGTTGTATCTTCATGTGCTTCATTAGGTCGTTCATCCACTCCATCAGATCTACAGTATACTGCCACCTACTGGACTGGAGTGTGTAGTATCATGAAATGACCAGTGACTTTTTGAGAAAACGCAGCCTACTTCTTACGCCTTGATTTGCGTTTTTTTATTTTTTTATTTCAACCGATGAGAATTGTCACGGATTTGCATCGATGTTTGAACCGATTCACGACGCATCGCTACATCCCTACCTGTCAGTCATAATGTTATTACCACGGCTCTAAAAATCTGACCAAATCTGACTGAGATATTTCTGTGGAATCCGCCACGCTGTGTGGAGATTCACCTTCAGGTCTTAGTCCTGCAGAATCATAAACCGTTGTGCAGCAGCGTCCGGTCGATGGTACAGTTCACATGGTCTGACACTGGTACACATATTTCAGAGGGTGTCGTTGGAGCAGCTCCGTCCAGGTCTGACCGTGAAGAATGAATTAACTGATCTCCTCTGAAGGTCCTTCGTTAGATCTGCTGCAACATGATGGATGAGCAGTGATTTTTTTCACAAGGTCGTCCTCACACCGCATGTGTGTGTGTGTGTGTGTGTGTGGTTCCCCAGCAAACAGATCAGGCGTTCATTTCCAGGCCAAATAAAAACATTAGTGGAAAAAGGAAAAACAGACGTTTGTTTTTAGCTTTTATTTCCAGGTGAGGAGCTGAAGCCCCTGGAAAATAACATAGTGACTCCAGTGTGTACCGTACTAGTTCTAGTACTAGTACTAGTACTAGAACTGAAGGTAGTTCAGTGGAGTACTTTTGTAGTTGTTGTTCAGCGTTATCCATTATTCAGGCCGTGGTTTCCTGAAACATTCACACACACGGGAATTAAAGCGGCGTCTCAGCTTGAATCTGATGTGGAGAATAATGTGGTTTTGAGGCTGACGGAGAACAGCCAGCCCATAGTTTATTCATGATCTACACTGCTGTTTACTCTGCTTATGGGCTCTAACTGTCCAGTACCTTTGTTATCCACCGGGGGCACAAACAGGGCCCTATATACAGTAGTAAGTGTTATTCTCCCCAACCCAGCTGTGATTGACGCCTGACTCACAGGAGTGGTGGACAGCACCGATTGGGAAGTAGATATAAATAGAAAATATGCCCAAAACTCTAGTGATCGGCTTCAGTTTCAGCACCATGGACAGCTCACACACTGGCCTTTTTTGGCAGTTTCTCAATTAAAAATTTTTTTTTTTGTTTTCCCACTAAAATAATTCATTTTTTCTAAAAAAAAAATTACTCCTGGCATTTATAAGTACATAGAATATGAATAAGTGTGAGTGGGCGGTGGGCCTGGGGGGGTGGGGGGGGGGCATTGAACTGTAACTGTAGGCCTTGTCAGTGACCCATTTCTGTCCACGCCTTTCATTGGATGAAATCAGAAACAACTTTGCGTTAATATCCACCATAGCACTCTGTTAATGTCTCTGGATTCTCTGAAGTGTAGTGTTTGTAGGCACCCTGTGGTTGAAAAGCAGTGATCAATAATCACTCTGACCTTCACTGCTGTAACATCTTCAACGTGGAATCCAAACACATCTTTTCCAGTAGAACAACAGGAAAATTCCCCGTGTCAAAGGGTGGTGTATGAAAATCACCCTGTGGTTGAAAAGCAGTGATCAATAATCACTCTGACCTTGTTTTTTTTTGTTCAGAAGCTGAAACAAATTAAGCCCCGCCCCCATCAGTGAAGCCGGGGGCTATTTTGAAGCCTCACTTTAAATATTTCATGAAAACAGTAGAGGAAAAAAAAAGGCATTGTGGGGAAATCCACCAGTGTGAGGCAGGAGGGTCTGTCTCACCTCCACCACCAACTCTGGCAAAGATGGCCGCCGTCTGGGGGAAAACTGCTTGTCTCTTTAAGGCCCAGCTCTGCTGCCGCAGCCAATCACAGGCCAGGAATTCTGTCTGGACCGTCCTTGTCCCTGACCTTGACGGAAGAGGAGTGAAGGAATGGAGGACATGTGGGAGAGTGGATGGGAATGGTGACTCTCCCCCCTCTGTCTCCCCCCTCTATCTCCCCCCTCTCCAACACCACCACTGCTCACCCGTCCTCCTCCATCCCTCTCTCCTGACGGCTCTTTAAAGTGTAACGGCACTAACAGTACTAGGAGTAATAATAGTACTAATGGTACTAAGCATTCACCAAGTTCAGTTCAAATATAAACAAGGTTTTCAGTTCACTTGTTTATTTTCTTAGAAACAGAACCAAAGTCCAACTGGACCAGTGGCTGAGGGGGGTGGGGGTGAGAGAAGGTGAGTGAGGCAGTGGGAGGAATGACTCACGAAGTCACCACTGAGCTGGACCTGCAGAAATCACCCAGGATCACAGGGTTTAACTGGGTTCAACCATAGTTCCTTCTTTGGATTTTGGTCACATTATTGTGACAAGATTGAGTTTCATTATTGATTAGTGTTATTGATTAAGTTTTGTTTTGATTAGGTTGATTAGGAGTTGTTTGACTCACTGTAATTTAGGCGTATCTGGTGATACGATATCACAACACGGGGGGAACAATACGATATACTGTGATACTACAGTCACTGTGATATATTGAGCCCCCCCCTATTGAGCCCCCCCCCCAGTGTAGCTGTAGTCCCAGTGTGATCCTAGTCTCAGACTCTGTTCCATCTGAACATCAGTTCCTAACTCTGGACTGGGAGTTGGGGAGAAAATAAAATCAATAACTGATCAGTGACTGAGGTGATTGATACGGGATCAGGAAAGGGAGATATGACCACATTTGGTTTGTTGTTAGTTTAAGTCCAACCGACTCTTTCTGATTTCCAAAGGCTCCTCTTCATTTCTTAGGTTTGCTGGACGATCAGGGATCTGATTAGACAACTGTTGCCATGACGACCAGGTCTCTAAAATGTTTTTGTTCTTTTGTTACTCCCACTCCTCCACTCCACTTCAACCGGTGTGACCAGTAAAAACAAGGTGCAAATAAAGAAACATCCTGCACACTGTCGGGGGCGTCTACATGGACAACTGTTAGCATAGCAACACACACATGTACTTGAAGTATTTTCTCACGTACTGATTTATTCAGTAGGGGTGTAAGAAAATATCAATACAATGTCAGTATCGCAATATATCGTATCGTTGCCCCGTAACGTGGTACATACTCTGTTGCCAGTTAGGGCGCCCCTAGTGTCGAGGTTAGTATCTGTTTCTCTCTGCCAGTGTCAGTGAGTAAATCATGTGAGTCAGAAGGTCATGTGTGAAAAGTCAGTCGAAGGTGGTCTTCATGTGTAAGTGGTCTGTTAGTCCGTGTACAGACAACAGCTGTTGATAATGTTCTATAATAACATCACTTTAATGGTGTAATCTTCGACAGCAGCTGCTGTGTTCAGAAATACAACATGTGAAGCCTCAGCTTTACTGTGACACTCGGCCTCAGATGTGTGTTTGTATTGTGCATTTAACTGTTGCTCATATGTGCGGTAATGTACAGTACAATTGAAAAAAAACAACAATAACTATGTCTTTGTTCATATCTCTATGTATATGAACCTCTGTCAGTTCTGAAGTCTGTTAATGTCCTCCCGCCACTCTATTCGGACCAGCGCAATTCGAATTGATTAAATCGCCCTTGTTTAATCCGCGGATTTACATCCAAATCTAAACCCTGAGCGCTGCGGCGACCTGGCCTGCGCGCATGTGCGGAGGGATACAGCATCCTGGGGAAGGAGAAGAAGGCTGAGCTGCGGCTCTACTTTCTGCCGGCATCGCTGCGGCTCAGAGAGAGAAGAGGGGTTTTCGCTCTGCATTATTAAAAAAACTAACTAATTTGATATTTAAATGCCAGTTTTCTTTATTTTTTTTTCCATCTAAGCCTCAAGTCTAAGGTCCGCTGGAGTGTTCCTGTCACAGAACTGTACAACCCCTGGTCAGAGTGACGTTTTTTTCATTGAATTTGATGTGGTTTTAGCCTGAATGACAGCTGTCAAGTTTTAACTAAAGGCGTCCATTTTTTTTTCTTTCCCTCTTTCCACCATCAGACGCCGCCTTCAAAACTACACCTTTCTGCTTAGACCCAGTCTCATCGAGATTCAGTCTCTGAAGAAAAGCGAGTGAAAGCAACAAAATGGGGGTAAGCAGTATAAACCGTTTCAATTATTATTATTATTATTTTTAGCTTTTAGCCTCAATAAATACGAGTGTTGACTATGGCGCAGTTATGAGAGACAGAGACCGAGATTCAAATCACGTTAACGGCTGCAGTGTGTCAAAAAACCCGAGAAATACTAAATAAAAATTGTCAGGGGACAAAGACGTGCGTGATATTCAAACGACGCATTAAACGCAGTGACATTAATTAGCATTTAAATATAAATCGTATAATATGGTCGGTGTTCCGTTTTAAATGCATGTCTGAAAATACGAGACGCGGTCACACCTGTCACACTGATCATAATCAACGACATATATCGCGATAAAAACGTGACGCTGTAAATATTGTAAAGACGTTTTTATTATAGTTTTTTGTTGTTGTTGCCTAATTGGAGTTCTAATTCACATTTTCACTGCGTCTGAAAGGGCGTTGCGGGACCGCGTTACGGTAACGGCTACTGCACCTGTGTCTTTAACAGAAGTTTCTGCTTTGTCTCTACATTAGTTACAAATAAAATACTGTAAGTTGGAGTATACTCTGTAAAGTATCCATTCAGAGCCCTGTTTCTACAACTGTGACCATTATGGACAATTAAAATGTAAAGTTAATTATTTCTCTGTTAATGAACGCACAACAGAGCTATTTTTTTAACAGTTGTCAGTGTCGAGGATGCTAACTCATGACTCATGGCCACAGGTCTGAGGACAGACATGGTTGTATTTTTTTTTCACCGTTATTGTCACTAAGACACATTTTCCTGCATTTGGTCTGTAAAAAAAAAAATTGTATTTCATTTGTATTTTATTTTACTAATTTTAAAGTGATTCAAGGTTTCTCTGCCTCATCCAGCTGTGGCTCAACATGTGGTAACGTCCTGTTGCAGGGGATTTAAGTAGGGGAGGGGGGGTCTATTGAGCCACAATGTCTAAACTAAAATCAGCAATGTATTTGTCTCTAGAAGGGGTAGGTTTTGGTTGTTTTTTTTTCCCCTCTGTCGTCCATTTTTTTATGATTACATAATGAAACATTGCTCCCATGTCAGTGAGGTGCTGCTGTGCTGTTATGGGGAGGGGGGGGGGTCTGGAGCTCAGGTCTGCAGGATGGAGCAGGACACGGTGAGCAGTAAAATGGATCCTCTGTGGTTTCTAATCCCAAATACACAAATTAAGATGATGAGGATGAGGATGGAACAGATTTCCAGGGGGAGGGGGTGTGAGAGTAGATGAAACCAGCGCCTCTAGTGTCTGGTCTCACCTCGTCCTCCTAAAAAAAAATCAGTTGTCAGTTAGGTTGAGAAGAACATCGTGTTCCTGACCAGTAAATCTGAAAGAGATTGGTTGTTGTTGTTTTTGTTGTTGTTTTCTTCCAGCTGTGTTGCAGTTATAAATTAATTACCATAAATTAATGATCACGTATTCTGGAAGTCTGTAATGCTTGACTTGTCAAGTTTCTGTGGTGAGTGGAGCTGATGACAACAGTCGACCGAGGTTGAGGGAGGAAGTGAGGGATGGATTTGACAGAGTTGTGAAAACTGAACAGATCTTCAAACCAAAGTGGGAAATAGGCACAGGGAATAGTGTGTGTGTAGGTGTAGAAACTCCCCCGATCAGGCTGTTATTGATCCGACTGGGTGGACTCTGGTCAGATTCGGGTTGAATGGGAGCTGGTTCGATGAGGGGAAGTAGTGAGGGCAGTTTGATCCAGGTCAAGCGATCAATCAGGGTGTTGGCATTGGTTTTGCAGGGTGCCAGGCCATACTGGGGGGGGGGGGGGGTGATGCACTGAAAGAAAAATAAGTGATTTTTGTCATTTGCCAGAATCTGGGATTTAAGGTTCACACAAGAAAAAATAAAAATCACTGGAGTGATGGATGCCTTTCATTATGGTTTGATTAATATTGAACTGAATCTGAAACCATGGATTATTTAGTCATTTGGTTCACAACCCTATGACCTGATGATCAGGGCTTTAAAAGCTTATTGCCTAGTGGCCAAAGACCTGTATGACCTACTTTTTATGTCAACTTTTGTAAGTTTTTGTGTTTAAATTCACATTTAGTTCACCACGTGGGGAAGACACACATTTGTTGTTCAAATGGCTGATGTCTTATATTTTTGTGTGTTTGTAGAAATCAAATCTTTAAATTTGTCTGATATTGACCTGACATCAATAGAGAGAGAGAGAGAGCAGCAGTAGACCATTAATAATAGTCACAGTCACTGACTGACACCTGCAGGCTGACAAAGACGAACTACAACTGAGAAGATGCGTCCTTTAAAAGTCATATTTTTATGGAAGTCCGTGGCATAACATTCATCATTAGGAACATTAAACATTTAATGTAATCAGGGTGGAGTCTGTGTGAGTTTAATCGTGCATAGAATAATGGCAGCAGAGAAAATGCCTCTGTGGTGAGTCACCTTGAAAATGGTGACTACTGAGAAAAATGGAGGAGTGGGAAAATGCAGCAGACGAGAGTGGGCTGCTGCTGTAGTGTGTGTGCAGTGATGAGACGGAGAAGGAGAACCAGTCAAGGATGAAGGTGTTAGCCAAGATCCCATGATGCCTTTTACCTGGACGCTACAGGAGGAGAGTCAGTCGTGGTGGAGGAGAGGCACGGTGTCTGATGCATGTGTGTTCTAATTTGCATAAACGATGTTGATTGATGTTGGTGTCACGCTACGCTGCAGGCTAACCACAGTTTCTTCAATTCCTTCTTACACTGCTCATGTAAAAAGCCACTGAAGACTACTGAAGCATGTCACATTCATCAAGTGGTAATACAGTGGTATTACACAGTGATCACATCATGTGGAAGAGGAATCGGGGGGCAGGAAAGGGATCATGTGGAAGAGGAATCGGGGGGCAGGAGGGGGTAGGAAAGGGATTGGGACTTGGTGGCTGTGCTTGCGTAATTCTCCCTGTCAATCAATATCTAATCAGGACAGACTCCCGCCCTCTTGTTTCCGTCTATAGACTGAATCCATACTGCTACAAATCACTGTAGGTGTGGAGGATAACTAGTCATGAGTCAAGAGCAAACGTAACACTGCAGCTCACTGGTCCTTCCAGCAGTGTTACGTAACACACCTTCATGTTGAATTCATCTGCAGAAAGTTCCCTCCTCTCTTTGACTTCCATTCGTTCAAATGCACACACTGGATTGGATGTTGCTAGGAAACGCTCCATCCATCAGCTGGGTGGATGTTGATGTCATCAATGTGATTTTGTCAAAAAAAAAAAACCCTGCCATTTCCTATTTCGCTCTCCTATTTTGCATTCTGGGAGGTGGTGTTGTGTATTGGACATTGACTCCTACAACCAAACCAGGATCAGTATACTTTATATTATTCACTACTTAAAAATAAATAAAATAATATAAAAAAAAACACCAAAAAGAAATTGATACTTTATTAATCTTTTTTTTTTATCTCAGAAATTGATACTTTATTAATCTTTTTTTTATCTATAAAATGTGAACCTGTGTTTGCTGTAAATGTGGTGCAGACTGTGTCGTCACCGTCAAACCTCTGTACAGATGAGCAGCTCAGAGCAGAGACACAGATGGACAGCCTGGAGGGAGGAGAATGTAAACAGAGTGGGTGGAGGTTGAAGGCAGGGACAGACGAGGGCGGAGCGCTTCTAGAGTGTATGCGACATTTTTTTAGGTCAGTCTGGCTACTGAGCTGTGTGATAATCTCATTTTTTCTGGATATGTGCCTGCTGTAATCCACTCTGACACAACCACAGCCAGATCACTGCTCAGCCCTGAACGCTGTCTGTTTGGTTAATTTAACATGACACTACATTTGTACTTTTTATTGATTCCTAAGTTTGGTTGGATTTGCACATTATTATTTTATCATGGGATTCTCCACCTCAATGACAGGTCAAGTGTAACATACAGTAACAACAGTTAGCATCGTAGCATGATTGCCTGTGTATAAGAGTCAGGGACGTGAGAGATGAGGTCATGAAGACACGAGAGTGAGTGTTTGATGGACGTCCAGCATCTTTTATTTAGTTTGAAAAAAAAAAACTGAGTTTGTGCCAGGAAAAGAAAGTGATCGAGTGGATGAAGTGGACGAACGAGAGACAGGGATTTGGAGGATCAGGAGTGAGAGGGAATTATTATTATTGTTCACTGGGTTAATCTGTCAGTGTAGTAAACAGCAGTAATCTGACGGCCTGTTGAACTCCACCACAGATGGCAGCATATTTCCACACAAAAATAAACGCTCATTACCAGATCCTGTATGGACACACAAACCATCAACTCAGTGGGAAGTCTGTGCTCTGGTCAGTACCAGAGTCAGGTCTGTGCACTGGAGCTGCTTTGACTTTATTAAAGCATTTCATTTACTGACAGGCTGTGAACTGGAGAAAGGCTCCAGGACATGTCTTTGCTCTGCTTTAGATCCAAATGTGAAATGAGGGTTGGGTGGTTTGAACAGTTCATTTAAATGAGACACAGTCGTACTGTCACAGTCGTACTGTAAAAACCTGTTGTCCTTCATTCAGAGGGGCTTTGGTTTCACCTTCTCACTTCCTGCCTCTCAGTCTGACATTTCCCTGTTTCCATGGGAGATGGTTTGTTGAGCCAAGCGGCTGGATGACATTTCAGTTCTCTGAGAAACCTTCAGGGTGTCCGTGAAAGGTGCATGCTGGGTAACGGTGTCACTGGAAACAGTACTGGACCAACCTGAACAACCCAGACCCAACAGTCAACGTATGACACGTGTCTGATATTCAGTACACACAGTATTCACACAGTATTCACACAGTATATGCACATGAAAATGAGTGTCACAGTTTCTCTCTTACTTCTACTTTTCTCTCATCAACCTCCAGCAGCGCCCTCTTCAGTCTGAACAGCAGTGGTCTAAATAGGTTTGATGCTAATTGCAGTTTGAGTGGAGCTCTTGAAAAAGGCACGTGTTTGAGTTCCATTCTAACAGCAGGAAACTGGGTCAGACTTTGAATCTCAAACAGGGGAAGTTTTTCAGGAGTAAAACTGAGGGTTTGAATCCGGCCCCGTTTTATTAGTGTCACTGTGTTACAGTGTATGGATATATATAACACAGTCCACCTACTGCCTCTGGATAGTTTATCTGTCACATGAATGTTTCTGGACTGAACAGTTGTTCTCTGTGTCTCCACAGTACGGACGGTCGGACAGCTATCGCGTGGCCACCACGCAGGACAAGGATGAGAAGGAGTCGCCCAAAAAAGGAAAGGGAGGCAAAGATCTGGACGACCTGAAGAAGGAAGTTCCTATAGTGAGTTTTTTTTTATCCCCTCAACTCTTCACACTCTTCACACTGACATTTCCTGCAACACAGCAACTAAACAAAGAACAAATGATTTAAATTCACAGCAGCCATGTTCTCGCTCACATAAAGACGATGAGATGTTTTACAGTATGTGTCACTGACATGAACTGTTTCCCTTCTTTCTTTGTAATTCTTCGTAGACTGAACACAAAATGTCTGTGGAGGAGGTTTGTCGGAAATACAACACTGACATTGTTCAGGTTGGTTTTTCTTCTAATCTTCAACTCCCCCTCCTGGTGGTTTGATGGTAGTGATTATTGATTTTTTTTTAATCTGTCCTTCCTTCCTTTATTATATTATATTCCTGATTAGGGTTTGACTAACGCCAAAGCAGCAGAATACCTGGCCAGGGACGGCCTCAACGCCCTGACTCCTCCCCCCACCACCCCAGAGTGGGTGAAGTTCTGTCGCCAGCTGTTTGGTGGCTTTTCCATTCTGCTGTGGATCGGCGCCATCCTCTGCTTTCTGGCCTACGCCATCCAGGCCGCCACAGAGGACGAGCCTGCTGGAGACAACGTAAGGACAGCAGGAAGTGAAGTGAACGGATCATTCACACTACTGTTTGTGGCCTTAAAAAAACTGTTAAGACAAATATGACAGGACACTGATAGGACAGGTCCTACTTTAACTTCACTTCACTTCACAGTGACTCGTGGATCTGTCTCTCTGGGGTTTGTTTTTAATCCAGTCATGTGATCATCTGATCATCCCTCTCTGTCTTTCTCTCCTCTTGTTTCCCTGCAGTTGTATTTGGGTATCGTGTTGTCGGCTGTCGTCATCATCACCGGCTGCTTCTCCTACTTCCAGGAAGCCAAGAGCTCTAAGATCATGGAGTCCTTCAAGAACATGGTCCCTCAGGTACCGGACTGCCGACAGGTTCAACGTCATGTTGTTTCTCTTTGGAAAAAAGCCTTTAATCCGTTTCTTCTTCTCGTCGGCAGCAAGCGTTAGTGATCCGTGAGGGAGAGAAAATGCAGATCAATGCTGAGCAGGTGGTGGGAGGAGACCTGGTGGAGGTGAAGGGAGGAGACAGAATCCCCGCTGACCTCCGCATCATCTCCTCCCATGGCTGCAAGGTGAACCACTGACACACACACACAGAATGTAAACCTATGACGATCCTTAACCAGAACACTGACTAGTTCTGTAGTGAAAGTCAGTAGAAAGTCAGTGAGTTTGTTGTTAAAGTCTGGATGTTTCTGCTCACCTTCAATAGTAGTAATAATGTTAGGATGAACACAGAGAAGTTAGAGACCAAGAGATTAAACCTAGTCTAACTCAAACCAGTCTTGACCTAATTATTGTCCTTCTTCATGTCCACTCTCTGCTCTGTGGGTCTCAGGTGGACAACTCTTCTCTGACTGGTGAATCAGAGCCACAGACCAGGTCACCTGACTGTACCCATGACAACCCCCTGGAAACTCGCAACATCGCCTTCTTCTCCACCAACTGTGTCGAGGGTCAGTTCACCACAGAACATGTTTGTGTCAGTGCGCTTCAGCTCCCACATACATTAAGTAAACAGTGGTGTTATGAAGCAGAAACCACCAGACAGCAGAGGGCGCCGCTGACTCATCATGTGACCACGTTAAACCCTCTTCTCTCCAACTGATCAAAATCACTAGTTTACACTGCTGCTTACCACAGTAGACTCAAAAAGAACAGAGTATACCGCCCTCTCCTGGACTTCATATCACATTACAAGCCCTACACTTGTTTCAGTGTCTCTTCATTCATTTCTAACTTTATACCTGTTTCTTCTACAGGAACAGCTCGTGGTATTGTGGTGTGTACTGGTGATCGTACAGTGATGGGCCGCATCGCCACTCTGACCTCCGGCCTGGAGACGGGAAAAGTAACGTTATCATTTATAAACATTCATTTATTGTTTAAGGTTTTCTACCGCGGTAGTTAAAGTCAACTTGTTTTTGTTTTGTTTTAATCAAATTCTCTCCTCAGACCCCCATCGCCAAGGAGATCGAGCATTTCATCCACATCATCACAGGCGTGGCCGTCTTCCTGGGCGTGTCCTTCTTTGTCCTGTCCATCGTCCTGGGCTACAGCTGGCTGGAGGCCGTCATCTTCCTCATTGGTATCATCGTGGCCAACGTACCTGAGGGGCTGCTGGCCACAGTCACTGTGAGTTTGTGAGGGGTCATCTGTGACGTTGGTCTGAAGGTCAAACCATGTTGTCACAAAGTCACAGACAAAACTCTCATGTTGAAATAGTTATTTTTTTAACTACTTAACTACTAGTTAGGAAATAAAAAAAGACAGTGGTTCTAATGAAATGGTTTTAATGTAACGACTACAGTAGGTTCTAATCTTTATTTGGAGAAACTAGAATATGTTCTGATGCTGGCTGAAGTGTTTTGTGGTGGAGTGTTGTAAATGGATGTTGTACTGTCCTGTTGTTGTTGTTGTTGTTGTTGTTGTTGTTGTAGTTGTACTGTGTGGTGGCTCTCATCCCTGCTTCCTCCTTTTCTCTCTGTCTCTTTGTGCCCCCCGCCCCCCAATACCGTTAATATGTTTTTGTGCATCTTGTATTTTTGTTCCTAAAATTTGTCACATTTTTGTCTGTGGTGAAAATTGTCTTTGTTTTATTTCGTCTGTCCTTTGAAATGTTTATTGTTAAGTCAGTTTGTGTGTCTGTCCACCTCCCCCTCCGTAGATCTCTCCCTCTCTCTTTCTCTTCCAGGCCAGTGGGGGTGCTGTCTTCAGTGACATCAACTAGCTAATGTAATGACATTAGGTTAATGACCAATAATTCAATTTGCCCTCTGCTCGAACTTTGCTACTTCTCTCTGGCTCATGATTTGGTTCTTGCCATATATGGCATGATGACATGATGCAAAGATGCAAAGCTCTGCTGTTTTGCTGCCTGACTTATTTCTGCTTCATGATCTCTGCATCGCTCCCTGGGCTGTTTTCTGTCTTGGCAGGGGTTTGATTGCACTTTGATAGAGAGGATAAGAACATCTCCAGGTTTCATGTTTGGTTACGCTGTAGGTGCAGTGGATTATGTTAGCGTCACCTCAGCACTGATGAGCTGTGTGTTGATTGTCAGAAGCTCTGGAGATGTTCTTCTGCTCTGTTAGATCCTCATTTAGATGCCAGTGATTTTCTCCTTATGTTTCCTTTAACTCCAAACTTTGTCTTATTCTTCAATCCTATCTTTTTTTTCTTTTTTTCTCCTCCCTTTTCTTTCACGTTTCACACCAACCCAGGTGTGTCTGACACTGACCGCTAAACGAATGGCACGAAAGAACTGCCTGGTCAAGAACCTGGAGGCTGTGGAAACTCTGGGCTCCACCTCCACCATCTGCTCCGACAAAACTGGCACCCTGACCCAGAACAGGATGACCGTGGCCCACATGTGGTTTGACAACCAGATCCACGAGGCCGACACCACCGAGGACCAGTCTGGTACCAGATTTATACTTTTTTTTTATACTAAGTCACAAGAAAAAGGAAAGCATCTGATTGAGATTTAGAAAAATAAAATCACATCATGACATTTAACGCTGATTAAAATCGTGTGACTTTTTTAAGGCTCATCTTTTGACAAGAGCTCCACCACATGGGTGTCTCTGGCTCGCATCGCTTCTCTGTGCAACCGTGCCGTCTTCAAGGCCGGTCAGGAGGCTCTGCCTATCCTGAAGCGTGAGGTGGCGGGCGACGCCTCGGAGTCCGCCCTGCTGAAGTGCATCGAGCTGTCGTGTGGCCCTGTCAAGATCATGAGGGACAAGAACAAGAAGGTGGCTGAGATCCCCTTCAACTCCACCAACAAGTACCAGGTCTGTGATCATCAGCTGAGAACCAGATGGACCAAAAACCAAAAATGTCTTCTGACACAGAGTCTTCCACGTTTCCCCACTTCAGCTCTCGATTCATGAGGCAGAGGAGGAAAGCAACACTTCTTACCTCCTGGTGATGAAGGGAGCTCCAGAAAGAATCCTGGACCGCTGCTCCACCATCATGATGCAGGGCAAGGAGCAGCCAATGGACGATGAGATGAAGGAGGCTTTCCAGAATGCCTACTTAGAACTGGGAGGACTGGGAGAGAGGGTACTGGGTAAGTAAGACCAGCAGGAGACAGAGACGATGATGTTGTTGAATATATGATAATATGATGAGGCTAACGACTCTGCTTCCTGTTTCTGACCTCCTCTAGGTTTCTGCCACGTGTTCCTGCCTGAAGACAAATACCCAAAAGGCTTTGCCTTTGACACCGACGACGTCAACTTCGAGACCGACAACCTCTGCTTTGTTGGCCTCATGTCCATGATTGACCCTCCCCGTGCTGCTGTGCCTGACGCTGTGGGCAAATGTCGCTCCGCTGGCATCAAGGTGGAAATCTCCTTCAACTTCTCTGTTCCCACGGGATCCACTTTGTCTTTAGTGTTTCCACCTTCTCACCTTCTGTCTCCTCCTCCTGCTGATGTTTGTCTTCAGGTCATCATGGTGACTGGTGACCATCCAATCACAGCCAAGGCCATTGCTAAAGGTGTGGGCATCATCTCGGAAGGCAACGAGACGGTGGAGGACATCGCTGCGCGCCTCAATATTCCCGTCAGTCAGGTCAACCCGAGGTAAGACGCAGAAGCTGAAGGAAACACGTGGTCGTCGACGAATCGCCCTGTAGTTGATGAGGGGTTTCTACAGTTTGGTCACGTGGAATCGTTTGTTTGTGCACAGGGACGCCAAGGCCTGCGTGATCCACGGCACAGATCTGAAAGACCTGTCTCAGGATCAGATGGATGATATTTTGAAGAACCACACGGAGATAGTCTTTGCCAGAACCTCGCCACAGCAGAAACTCATCATCGTGGAAGGCTGTCAGAGACAGGTGCCAAGACACTGACGGACGCAGCTGTGGCTTCTACAGCTGTTTGTTTCTAACGGCCATCAACACTCTCTGCTGATTGGTCTTTCAGGGCGCCATCGTGGCCGTGACGGGTGATGGAGTGAACGACTCGCCTGCACTGAAGAAGGCCGACATCGGCGTTGCCATGGGAATCTCCGGCTCAGACGTGTCCAAACAAGCTGCAGACATGATCCTCCTGGACGACAACTTCGCCTCCATTGTCACAGGAGTAGAAGAAGGTGAAAAAGATTCAACACGAGGCGTGGAGGTTGAAAGAAGAGCCTCACTGGTAACCACTGTATTTATCTGATGTCTGTCCCTGCAGGCCGACTCATCTTTGACAATTTGAAAAAGTCCATCGCCTACACACTGACCAGCAACATCCCTGAGATCACACCCTTCCTGTTCTTCATCCTGGTCAACATCCCTCTGCCTCTGGGCACCATCACTATCCTCTGCATCGACCTGGGAACTGACATGGTAAAAAAAAAAAAAAAAGAGGAGATGAAATAAAGTGTGAATAAAACACCAGACACGTGTTCACGAGGCAGAAGAGATCGATTTCACACATGAATCATTGGTGTCACACACACGCACACACACACTCGTGACTGCACTGTGAACCAGTCACGACAGCAGCAGACAGGTTCACTGGTGTCAACACCAGTGTTCAGAACAATGTGACTGGAATGTTTATAACGACAAAGTTAAATGAAATAGAAAATAGAAAAGTAAAAAACTAGATCATTAAACTGTGTCACTGTGTCTGTTCATCTGCCTCCAGGGGACCAGTGTGTTAAATAAAAAGTCAGAATAGGAAATAGAACAGCTGACTTTACAGAAATGTTGTCAGAAGCTGCACTGAAAATGCAGCTCTGCACTACAAACGCTAGATGGCAGTGTGGGGTCTTCACTACAACAAAGCAGATTGATTTGACAAGGAAACATTAAATAATGAAAGCAATGAAAGTTTCTGGCATCAATAAAAATACAACAACAACACGTTCTCATGTCCAGTCAACAAATATAAAACCATGAAGGTCTGTAAAATATTTAAATAAATTAAATTTAAATTTAAAAAAGTCAAAGATTATGTGAACGTGGAGGCTTGAAAACATCCTCTAAACTTTCCACTCACCTTCACCTTCTTCCTCCTCCTCCTCCTCCCTCTGTTTTCTCCCCCAGGTTCCGGCCATCTCTCTGGCCTATGAAGCAGCAGAGAGTGACATCATGAAGCGTCAGCCCAGGAACCCACTGAGGGACAAACTGGTCAACGAGCGACTCATCAGCATCGCATACGGACAGATTGGTAGGCAGCGCCATCTGCTGTTTGTCTGAGGGACATGTTGAGGTTTGATACTTGTTTTTCTGGTTAAACTGCTCAGTTAAGACTCAATCTGCTCCTGGTTCTGCAGGAATGATCCAGGCTCTGGGTGGTTTCTTTGCCTATTTTGTCATCATGGCTGAAAATGGTTTCCTGCCGTCGCAGCTCGTCGGTATTCGACTGAACTGGGACGATCGCTCCAACAATGACCTGGAGGACAGTTATGGACAGCAATGGGTAGGAACGAGCGATTGAACGACTTCTTAGCCGTTCTGGGAGAGCAGTATTTTTAACGTCACCAATGTTTGTCCACCTCAGACCTACGAGCAGCGTAAGATCGTGGAGTTCACCTGCCACACGGCCTTCTTTGTCAGCATCGTGGTGGTGCAGTGGGCCGACGTCATCATCTGCAAAACCAGACGCAACTCTGTGTTTCAGCAGGGCATGAAGTGAGTAAGAAGTCATCTGAACTCATCATGGTTCTCAGTCTCAATTCCCTCTGAATGCCACTAGGTGTCAGTAAAAGTCAGGTTGTTTTTTTTAATGTTGTTAAATCATGGACTAGGTTTTTTTTTTACCTTGTGGTTCCTTAGTGTGGCGGTTGTCACGCCTGCCTTACACGTCTACTGTACCTTACATGCAGAAGGTCCTGGAGTTGAGCTTAGAGCAACCACATATGTTTAATTACACCTCCTGTGGCAGCCTGTGTGTGTTGCAAAACTCCCACTTTTTTAAATGTATTTTTTAGTTTCGTTCAGCGTCCATCCTTCATTCCTCGTCTCTTATTTTCTTCAGTCAACTAAAAGTCTGCTGTGATAAAACATTGAAGTGTAGAGTGATGCTGTGTAGGGCAACAAACATCCAGCCGAAATATTATTCACCTTTCGTTTCCCCCACTTGCCACTAGATGTCACTCTAACGTCAGTTTTAGTGAGGTTTAATTTATGGACCTAATTCCTGTGAAGCTGTTCACTGCGGCTCTGTCATGTGTTCTCTGTCCTTATCTCGTCTGTTCAGGCTGCATTTAGAGATGATGTTCCGCTACACTCCGTAACTTTTATGTCTGCGCGCTCACTGCCGTCAACATTTTAACATTTTTCTCTTCTGACATTAAATCACATCTTTTGTTTGTTCCTTCACAGAAATAAGATTCTGATCTTTGGCCTGTTTGAGGAAACGGCTCTGGCTGCCTTCCTGTCCTACTGCCCTGGGATGGACGTGGCGCTGAGGATGTACCCGCTCAAGTGAGTCGCGTCCCACCAGCAGGGAGCAGACAGACGCAATAATCAGATTCAGACTGAATGAAAATAAATGTTTGTTTTTAATTCAGAGTGAATCCAATATCTGCGTCTCTGTTTCAGGCCAAGTTGGTGGTTCTGTGCGTTCCCGTACAGTTTCCTCATCTTTGTTTACGATGAGATACGAAAACTCATCCTACGTCGAAACCCTGGAGGTATGACCCCCCCACACACACACACACACGCACACACAAAAACTGTTGTTTCAAATGTTTTCATCATTCAGTTGGTGTGAAAGGTTTCAATATTATATAGTTTTTTTTCAATGCGTACCACTCAGGAAGATGTAGTACCTGCATGATCCAGCAGAGGGCAGCAATAACTTGTGGATCATAAGTAGTTTTTACTGTTAATGAACAGCCAGACATGTCACGTGATTTGAACTGTCAGTCAAAGACACACAGTAGAGATGATGATTGTGATGCTAACGCTCCACTGAAGCTAACGTCTCCGTCCTGTCCTCCCTCCCCCTCTCTCTCTCTCTCTTGTCTCTCTTTTCTCTCTTTTCCTCCCTTTTCTCCTTCCTTCCTCTCTCTACAGGCTGGGTGGAAAAGGAGACGTACTATTAAATTATCAAAGCATCATTTACTTCTAACTCTCCTCCCCAACCCTCCTCCAAGTCCTTCCCTCCTTCTCTGTCTCCCTTCCTTCCCCTCCCCCCCTCTCTCCTCCTCCCTCCTTCCACTTCTCCTCCGTCCACTGTCAACACTGTACAAAGAAACTATGTTTACTCCTCCATCTCCTCTCTCATCCCCCCCCACCCTGTAAAAAGCTAACAAGTAAAAGCAAAGCGCCACGGCAACGAAAAGGACCAACGACGGAGGAGGAGATGACGGAGCAGGGTGGTGGATCTCCCCCGTCCTCCCTCCGTTCCTCCCTCCTCTCTCTCTCTGTCCTTATTACTTTGTCTTTCACACTGCCACTGCTAGTCTGACTCTGTCACTGTTACTCACCGTACTCGCTCTGCGGAGGTTTGTGTTGAACTCACGGGGCAAGACGACAAGACGGCAGCTCTGCCCCACCAAGAAATGCCCTGTAGGGGCCTCTAGGGGGGGTTCTTTCTCTTCTTCTTCTTCTTCTTCTCTCTGCTGGACTAAAACGGTCCTTCAGATCCAGCTTTCTGATCACTGCCATCTCTGGTCATCTGTTCTCCTTTACTCCTCCTCCTCCTGCTCCTCCTGCTCCTCATCTAATATCAATAAAGAATCCATCTCAGCTCTAAACCAGAGCGCTCGCTCGCTCACTCACACACCCTCAGCAGTCTTCTGACTCCCCCTCCATCTTCCTCTCTCTGCTCCGGCCCTGTGCCATGTTGTTGTTGTTCTTGTTGTTCTTGTTGTTGTTGTTACTGTTGTTTCGATGACAGGATGTTTTTTAAAGAAACAAACTTGTTTGTCCAAATCTGTTTTGTTCTTGGGAGTTTGGAGTGAGTGACAAACCTCACCCTCTCTCTCCCCCTCTTCCTCGTCTTCTTCCTCGTCTCCCCGTCCCTGTTTCTCTGCGTGTGTGAACACCGTGAGACTCTCCGTCCTCCTGCACCGAACCCTTCGTCCTGCTCCTCCTAACTCCTTCCTTCCTTCTTTCCTTCCTTTCTTCCTTCCTTCCTTCCCTTTAGAAAATAACTCCAATCTTTCTGTCCTCGGAAAAAGAGATTTCTCTCCAGTTTCATTAATTAAGACAAATATGGAACGAGACTCTGCTCATTAACCTGTGAAACAACAGCAGCAGATTAAAAACAAATGAAATGAAATAAAACAGAAGGATCTCTCTTTTTTCAACCTGGTCTCTGCTTTCTTTTTGTGTGGGATTTTCTTACAATCTGGGAATAAATGGTGTGAATCAGATTACCTACAGATTATCTACAGATTATAGTAGTTAACAAAACAAAAAATTTAAAAACGGTTTCATAAATTTTTTTTACAAAAAATGCACAGATGGATTTTGAATGATAATAAAAAGTCATCCACCTGTCATTCATTAAATAAAACTAATGAATTGAATGTAGTTATCTTTAAATAATTTGGTATTTGGCTGTGGGAACATGAGTGACTTTAAAATAGAATCAAAAACAGTGTTTTTACTGCTCCCTGCTGGTACTCTGCTGGTGACACACGTATGTAAATAAAGGGAGTGTGTTTGGGTTTAATCAGGTGGACTGGGTCAGAGGGCGTTTGTGATTGGACCAGAGGAGGAAACAGGAACAACGGTGGGTAAAGAGGAGGTGGTCTTCATCTCTGGGTCAGACGTGTGTGTGTGTGTTCATGGTTTTTTACCGTGCTGCAGTGAAGAAACAGATAAAAATAATAATAATATTAACTTATTTTCCCAGAGACATTTGATCAATTTTAAATGTCAAATGATTTTGTGCAGGAATCGTACCTGCGTACATTTACACTGTTTGGTATTTTAAAGCACAGGCGTCAAACTCAGGCCCGTGGGCCACATCTGGTCCCTGTTGTGATTACATTTGGTCCAAGACATGATATCAAATGTATATATATACTGTATAAATCCTCTGTGTACTGGTAGTATTTGTAGTATTAGTGGTGTGTGTGCTACGTTACAGCACGTACATTTTTGGTCTTGGAAAAAAAAAAGATTGACTTGAAAAAGGAACTGGAAAGACCACAGATAAAGAGACAGATTTAGAAACCAATATTTCTCCTGTGTTTATAATATGATCCTGTGGTTTTTTTCCAGATTCAGTTTTGTTTCATCATCATCAGATCTGGAGAGAAGAGAAAAACATGAACAACTACAGTCAGTGTTTCAATAAATATCAGGTTCGACCCCAGACTTCCCAGACTGCCCTGCTTTAAAGGTGACCTGAGGTCACATGACCTCTGACCCAGGTCTGCTCTTTCTGTCTCACATAAAACACACAAATAATTGATCATTTGTTTGTTTATCTGTCGACCCTAAAACCAAACCCACTTCCTGTTTCATTCAGCAGGTCGACGCTCAAACAGCAAGACTGGAAACACCACGTGATTACCCATAGTTCCACTGGGCCCTGGTCGTCTTCACGCAGATACTGAAGGACATTTTCTTCAAGTCTCCTCCGTCCAGACCCCGTGTTACTGAGGTGAGCGCCTGTCTTACTCAGAAGGGTCACTAGATGTCACTGTGACGTCTTCTTCCTCCCTCCATCCAACACCTCACACCCAGTCACACACTCCTCTCACTCCTGGACCTCAAAGCCTTTTGTCTTTTCTTACATTCATACTGTTTATCACTCCTCGACCAGTCGCTGCACCAGAACACACACACACACACACATATACACAGGAGTCTGTGTAAGTACCCTCGTGGGGACACACTGACTTCCGTTCTTTCCGTCCATTTTTGATTTTCGTCCACTCACTTGATCAGGTGACTTCTTTGAATCTTGAGGTTCATTATATCTGTGACGTCACACAGTGGTTGGAATGGGAACTGCACATTTCCAGATTTTTATGATTTTAATTCTTTATGTTCTGTTATTAAAGCTTTATTTAACTGTTGAACAGGACACAGTGGACACAGTGGACACTGACAGAGTCCAGTCTGTCCGTCACGTCCCCTCCAAGGCTGAAAGAACAGCACATCCACACACCCTTCCATTTCCTTTCTGATCTCCTCCAGCCTCGACTGCATATTTTCCTTCCTTCCTTCCTTAATTCCTTCCATCCTTTCTTAACCCCCACTGCCCCCCCCCCACACACACACACACACACTTTCTCTCAATCTTCTCCTCTATTACATCCTCACGCTAAAACCCCTGTTTTTGCCCTCCTCCCCACACACTCGTCTCCCACCTTCCCTAAAACCCTGTTTCGTTTCCTCAGACACACACACACACACACACACTTCTTTTTTGTCAACCTCCATGAACACCCCCCTCTCCTCTG